GAGATAGCCTGCAGCTGGAAAACTGTGAAGGTGTCAAAGCTCGGTGGTCAATCGCTGTATTCCTTTTTGCCCCCTTTTAAAAACCAGATTAGTTGGAATTTTCCATTCTTATCCATTCATCACTTTGCAACTCCTGTTTATTAGCTTGTCATTCATAGCGGAGTATAATGGTAAAACCATCAAGCAGGCACCATAAAAAAGCACCCCAGGGTGAGGCTTAAGGCTACTTGATCAGGCTTAATAAAAGAGGCTTTATGGATATATCGCAGTAAGATGAAGATATCACACCACTCGAACACTCTACTGCTACTCCGCCACAAGCTTGATGTGCCACTCGTGTCTGTAAGTGTGTCTGGACAGGCGTGCTGAAAGGCTGCATGGCTTTCACGTTGGTTCACTTTATGGTGCTAGACTGTGAAGAATAAAGAAGAAATGGAAACGAGGGGGGGTAAAAAAAAAAAGAGAGAGAGTGCAGGGTAGATGGTATCAGCCGCATGGAAACAGTTAGCCAAGCCTCAAAGCCTCTTTTGAACTGCAAATGGCTGTTAAGAAACAGCTTTCACTCAGAACATGTTCAAATAACATGCCACCAACATGCAATAGGACTCAGGGAGAGCGCTCCCCTTTGCACAGCAAAAACACAGGTATCCCACCCACCCACTCATCCACCTCCCTACCTTATCTCACCTGGAGAGAGAGAGAAAACCCTTTTAATTTTCTCTGTCTCATTTTTTCCCTTCCTGGCAAATAAAAGATGATTTTTTTTTTTTTGTGATTTTTTATTTATTTTTTTGCAAACCTCTGACAGGCGAGCCTTTCGCAGGATTTAGTCCATCTGAAAACATGTGGTAAGCCTTGTGGAATGTTTCAAATGATTCCCAGATGTGGGCCGCAGACAGGTTTAACCCATTCTTCTCTCGATCGGTGGCCCAGATGAAGCAGAGAAGACGCCTTGCCAGGAGAAAGTCTGAGCAATATCGCGCAACTCTTATCCTTTTCTGTCAATTTTTGTTACTTTCAAAGCATTAGGGCTCACTGAACTGTAGCTTAATATAATTTGCTGCGAGGCTAAAAATGGAAGTTCTCTCATGGTGCATTAACCAAGAATAAAGAATGCGAGAGCGCTGCTTTCTTCTCTTTCTTTCTGTCTTTCTTTTTTTTTTTCCAGACAACTCAGCAAACACAGGAACCTGGCAAAAAACCAAAACAAAACAAAACAAAGGAAAACACCTTTA